TATATGGAATTATGGATGCTGGTAAAATAGGCAATTCTATTTTCTAAATGATGTTACAGTAACAAAGTAGAGAGGGAATCCCACTTTAAAAGAGTTCTCAGACTAGAAGACAGTTGATATGGTCAACTGAAGATTTGAAGTCATCATTACCATGTTCTCAGCAAGATATGGATGTGTTGATTCCAGTAACAATGCAATAACTGCAGGATCTGCTTCAGTTTGATGATTGGAGATCAAAATTACATTTTCACCCTGACAATAAGGAAAATAAAGAGTAAGTAGGTGATTGTTCCCAAAAATATTTAACTGTTTAGATCCCCAGAAAAAAAAAAAAAACAAAAAAAAAAAAAAAAACAAAAAAACAAAAAAAAAAAAAAACAGAGACTAAGATAGCAAGACCGACTGATCAGCATTACAGATAATATGAATAGCAACACTGACTGGATCCACGGATTATACTATGGAAAACAAAATAACACATTTGAATTACTGCAAGAAGCAGAAATAACACACCTTCTGAACTGTTTCTTCTATTTCAGTGAAAAGAGAAACATTTCCCACATAAGAGTTCCTGGAAAGTCAGATATAAATGTCATCAGAGAATTGGAGTCATTGACACCATAACCAGACTATTCAGATGAAAAGAAGCTGAAATTTATAGTCACATTTTGCAAAGGCAAAGGACATGTGCAGATGAAGCACCTAAACCAAAAAAATAGTATAGATTTACATGAACCTCCCAAACCCTTACACCCCTAGCAAGAGACATAAACCTCAAAAACTTTCTACTTGTCAAGTGACATCTATACAGACATCAATCAAGCTATTCCAAAAACCCTCATCTCTACATAAGCATCCAACTCCCAAGCATGAAGCATAGATATCAATCGCATAACAAACTACAGGAAACACCTTTGATGCCAAATCTTCAACCCTCTAACTCCTAACAAATTCTAACTTAAAAGGAAAACATAAGCTAATAGTTTTGTATACTGTTACAGTCAGATCGAAAAGTGTTGTTTTTACTTTTTATAATAGTGAAAAATATAATTAGTAATAAAACAAAAGAAAAAATGTTAAGGTATTAGACTTCTGGAGTCAATATTATGGATAAATTATGATATGATTACATGAAGCTCTACAAAGTTGTTGCCATTTAACTGACAAATGATGTACACGCAGTCACATTTGACCGTAACTTTTTCATTTCCTATGGGTTTATTACCTCTCCCATTGAACTTCAAGTCTTCAACCAACAAATCCAGATTTTTCCATGACATTCTCACACGTGAAGCCTAATGCAAAGTAACCTAGCCCTTGGTGATGGTTAGATTGGATAATGCACAAGACCAATTACAGGTATGTTCATACAAGACTTAACTCTGAAAATTCTACTAAGGTTTCTTATACTACCTAGTGTTGGACTTAACAGGTCCTCTCATTCTTGAAAAGAAAGAGAAAATGAAGCTCTTTCTTCTGTGGCCTAAATTGTGTCCAGTGAGGCCATCAGAAAATTGTATCTAATCAATGTTAGGAAAAAAGCAGCTATTGAAAACAATTACATTGAAGAGCATGTTTACAACCTGAAGTCAATCAAAGGACGAATGTAATTTTGGCCAAACACATAGTAGTCGAATGGTTCTCGAATTGCTTTGTGATGAGGTGAGAACTCAAAAGGATCCTGAAAGATTGTTATTTTTTGGATAGCATAAGCTCAAAGTTCATAATAGCAGGCAAGTTAAGTTTACTAGAAGCATGATATCTATAATGCTAAATTGACATGAAGTATTGTGGTAGAGTGACCACCTTCACATCAAGGAAAATACGATCAAATGCAACAGCCATGTTGGACAGGACAATCTCATCTGCTTTAGGATCTTTAGTTTTTAAGACCTGAAAAGGAAAAATAAAAATACAAACTCAGAGCACATGTTAGATCAAATAAATTTAATTTTTTCCCTATTAAATTATTAATCTTATATTACTAAAAATGTCAATACTGTTCGGCTGTTCCCCGCCAATGCCATAAATATACAAAAACCTAGATGAGAATTCATGATAGCATTAGCCATAAATGTTCTAATAAATGGCCCTTTCAAAGCAAAAGTTTCACCTATGTGCCAGATAGGCACTTATAAATTATAATGGAATTTTGATATATGAAATTCATTTATTAAAAAAAAAAAAAAAAAAAAAAGATAAAAGATAAAGGATCTAAATAATGTTAAGCTTTTTTCTCCTTTGTTGTGGCTAAGTAAACTGTCTGACATAATTTAAGTCTCACAAACCATATTAAATTAGCAATAGAACAACCACATCATTTGTTGTGGCTATATGATGAGTTGAAAGAAAATCAATTTACTGCATTTCGATAATTTTGATATAGTTCCAACATCCCTTGAGCAACATTTTGTGGCAGTTTTCCTTCTTCTGCTTCCCTTTGAACAACATAAAGTAGGTCTGTGAAAAAAGGAATGCAAGTGAGGGACAGGAGGGGAGGGGTGAGAAACGAAATGGCAACTTGGATTCAAGAGTTCTGAGCTCCAAATAAACACAGAACACACAATCACCAAGGCACTGATCAAATGAGTGCATTATCTATTGAGTTATTGCACTAAAAAGTACAATTAAATGAAATTAACCTGTAAATGTCCAGTTAGTCCCAATGTTATTTAAATACAAATACAACAACGGACAAGAGTGCAAGTGTTTTTCCCCATTATGAAGATTCTGACACATATACTGATATGCTAAATTGCTAACTATCCAAAAAAGACCACACTAATGAAAACAGAGAAGTGATTATTAAATGCAAGAAATCTATTTACTCGCATTCATTCTTTGTTTGCATCGTTACGAACAGAAAACAGAAATCAGTGCACTTATTATTATTTTTTTTTTGTTTCCTTCTAGATATTGATCTCGCATTCAATACATTAATAGGTAAAATGATATCACAGATTCACAGTGGATCAGATACAGACATGCTTAGTACGAGTTACATATACATACACAGTTACACACTCGAATAGAACAAACCACCATACTGACCATAGCATCTCAATGAGCAATAGCTATCTAATTAAAGAGTGTCAAGGAAACCGACCTTCACCTGAACGAGCATCGAGGAAAGTACGAAGCTCGTGGCTAGCGGAAGCCGACACCGCCGTGGCGGCGGCAGATTCCTTCTTCTTGTCCTCCACCATTTCCGCCTTCGCGTCACAGAAGACCGCGGAGGAGCGCAAGCTTCGAACACTGCCGCTCTGCTTCAAGGTCGAGCACGAGTGAGCTATTGACAACGAAGAGGATGAAATCCACGGCAGCGCAGCTGTTATATTGTAGAGGCTAGAGGAAGAGTGAACTGAAAGGATCACCATGGCCCCGTTGTTTACGGGAAGAAGGAAATGGACATGAGAGGCGGTGCGGTGGCGTGTGAGTGTGTGTGTATATGCACGTGCTTTTCAGCTGTGGGGCCGAGCACTTCAGCAGTCAAGCCGCTGTCTGCTGATGCTCCGATGTTGAAAACGGCAAGTTGATTCACTGACGATTGACGAAGCTTATCGTGAAACGTGTGAACGGATTCGTATTCCTACCGTTAGAATTTAACGGTCTGTACCATTGGACCTGTCGTGTGGGCCAAGAGCCCCAGAGGGCTAGAAATTGAACCAATTGTTATACACTTATATCATGTACCGGGTCCACATATCCGCAAATTATTCCGTGGATCCGGGTCCACCGTACAAGGTGGATCCGGGTCCAAACGTTTACAATTACATACTAATTGTTCACAATTTACATTTTAAAAATTTATAATTTGTTTACTATGAAGTTAACATATATATAATTGATTACCCATTTTGTATTCACAAGTTCCTTTCAAATACTGTAGTCACACAATATTAACAAATTATGATTTGATGACCATGTATTGTATTCACAAATTCTCTTATACAGTTGTTATATGTTTTGAGTTAGAAACACAATTTATATTCTAGAAATTTACAATTTCAATACTAAAAATACACAATCTATACGTCGTTTAGGACCAGGATCCGTCTTGTCCATGGTATAAGAACTCGCATTATGGACTCTTATTGAAATGACAAGGTACATAATTTATATTATGGTATAAAATTTCATGACACAAGATACAAAAATTCACAACACAAACATATACATATGTTATATATTTACTTATTTTTCAAATCTGATTTAGGTACATAACTTGTGTTCATATACACAGAATTTCACAACACAAAACATATAAAATACAATTATTAATTTGTTTTAGACTTTTAAGTACATAATAATTCGTACTATAAAAGTACAAAATTTCATAACACAAAACATAAAAACTCATAACATAACACACATACAACAATCAAGCATATTGTTGTCATTGCCACTTGTTGAATTGAAAACCACTAAATTTGCATTGCCATATCTACAAACTCTAGAACATCACGTAAGTTTCCTTGTTTATGTAAGGATGTCGCAATTATAAATCTGGTTGGTCCCTGTTTGATAATAGTATTACTTAAACTAGTATTTCAACGACTAGTAAAGCAATACTTGTATGTGCTTTGCCCAAGTAAAAGTCAATGAGCCATTATTGCAGTAGCAAGTTGATGATATTTGAGGACTTATAGGATTAAATTGTATTATTGTTATGATGAGATTGTTTTGACCGGAATTATACTTTGGGTTAATTGCATAAACAGACTAACTATGAGGTGAGGGCGGCGTTATTGGCGCCCAAAAGAGAATATTGGAACAAATATAATTAAAAATAAACTTGGAAACACTGGCCTATTAGCTCAGTTGGTTAGAGCGTCGTGCTAATAACGCGAAGGTCGCAGGTTCGAGACCTGCATGGGCCAAGTTTTAATACCTATACTTTTTTCGCAGTTTTGCTTCGCGAAGGTCGCAGGTTCGAAACCTGCATGGGCCAAGATCAATACCTATATTCGTAAGCAATTTTGATTGGGCCAAGTCCGTATGTCGATTCATTTTTCTCCTACCTGAATCAGCAAATTCGTGCTGCAAAATCGGGGCCTCAAAAATCGCGTTGGAATGAAATGAAAGCTTCAGAAGCGTGAGGAGTGACGACCACCATATAAACACTCCCAAATCTGGCGCCACAAAGCTTACCAAAATCTCTTTCACAATTGAATTTTTGCCACTCTTACAGCCTTCTCTCCTTCGTATTTTTGATTCTCTTTTTGTTCAGGGTGCTCGAAGAAGCCTGAAACCGTCGCCTCGTTCTCTCTCTATCTCTCTCTCTCTCTCTCTCGTGTTCTTCTCCGCAGCGGAAGCCGAAGATGACGACCTCTCTCTGCTACGTCGGCGCCGTTTCCAAGGCGCCGTCTCTTCACGGCCGGAGCAGAGCTCTGTTTCCTTCCTTCACCACTCAACATTCTTCACTCTCTCGCCCTCGGTTAGCCTCTCTTCTTTCTAGCTTTTGCATATCGTGTGCAGTTGTGCTGGTTCTTTGTTCCTAGGCGATGAAATTTTGTGCTGGAAGTGAGTTCAATTAGCGGTTCTCTGTGCATGTATTTTATTATAGCATTTTGGAGTTCCTTTTATTCGTTTGCTAATTTGCTTATGAATTTGAGGCTGTGAAGTACAGAAACCGGTGTGTTTTAGGGATTTGTTTTGCCTAAAGAGCGTAGGGTGTTTGTTTGATTGAGTCTGCTTTCTGTGATATGACATTTCAAGGAGAGCATTCAAGGACTAGAAAAGGGAAGTGTTGAACTTCAATGGTCTTGTTAAGTTTGTAGTATACTGAACGGGTAATTTATGGAGAACTATAGGAGAATGAGCAGAAAAGGGGTGGAATTCATTCAGTAGAAATAGGTAGAAGAAACTGTGGTTTCAAAGAAAGCTCAGCATTTTCTTATCTATAGATATTGCTAGATAGCGACTGCACTAAGACAGGTCACTTCAACAGCCTCTAATTCTTTGATTTATGGCTAAGCCTGCAGCACCTACCTGAAAGTGCCTAGTGACCTTAGGCGATAAATGACCACGAGATGTAACTGAACCTAGTTTTCCCATAGTTGATCGACTCAAATCAAGAAAGCCAATAGATGACTACTGGGGAGTTGAACTTGGCTCTAATTATGATCTGAAGCATCCTAGAAAAGAAGCCAAAGCTGCAACAGTCCATTGGTTGGTAACATTACCAACTAAATGGCAATATAGTAAATAAAGTCAAAAGCTTTAAACAAAGCCATTTTAACTGAGCAATAAAATGGCACCCACTTCCATTGTATTTGATACTAAGTTGCACCATCTAAGTACTGCATTTTGCAGCCTCAAACTGAACTTGGAGAACTTAGGGAAAATAATGCACAGCATAGCTTCATAACAGTGATCTTATTGGAACTATTGATTCACATTTTAATCATTCTTATCAATTCTGGAAGTTCTGCCTCTTTCTACGGTGATTTCACCACTGGTGAGTGTCCCATACTGTATGTAAACCTAAAATCAATCATTCAATTGTAGTTATGACCCTTTCTTTGGTACTATCCAGCTTTTGCAAGGTTGGTGTCAGATGCAATTATTCTGGAGCTGGTATACGGGAAAATTCAAACACAGGGACAATTGATGTTGTGGCTGATGTGAAGAGTGAGCGAGTATTACTCTGGGACTCACCCAAATTTTCTTCTTTTCAATTTAAATAACACTGAGATAATGTCATTCTATTTGTTCTTAGCAGATTGTGGTGTTGGGAGGCAGTGGTTTTGTTGGCTCTGCAATATGCAAAGCTGCAGTGTCCAAGGGTGTCGAGGTTATAAGTCTGAGCAGGTCTTTGAAATCTTTCTCTGGGAGTCAATGGTGATTTCAATGATTAGAATGTCCTTTATAATTCTGCTGCTAGCGGCTGTTGATTATGAAACTTTTATGTAGTTGCATTTATTCTTGTTCTATTTTTCTTAAGTAATTTGAATTACCAAACTTCATAACTTTTACAGATCAGGCCGTCCCTCATACTCCGAATCATGGCTAGATCAAGTCACTTGGATTTCAGGCAGGTTCATATCATCCTTGTACCTCCAATAGGCTACTTATAAATGAAACTGCAAATTATTACTTTGAAGAATACAATATAAAATTGGTTTCTTTTGTATTCATTTGTCACCCTAGAATCTTTGGCTATCATTGGAATACAACAGGTAGGATTATCCAATATATATTATGTATTTGTAGTTATATATACCTTTCTACTCAATCTCGCCCTGCTGAGTGCTGGATCTCATCATAAGCATTCCAAAATAGTAATAGCTTCTTGCTTGCACTTCTAGTATAAATGTTTAAGTAAAAATTTTTTTGTTTCCCCTTACACCCTCAAATCATTCACTCCTTTCTTTTGGTTTCTGGTTCACTAGGAAGATCCATCTTCAATCCAAAAAAAAGAAAAATAAGAAAATATAGTGAAATTTTCAGTTATAGCAATGTTTAGCATGTGTTTCTCACTGCAATTTACTGAATACAAATTGAAGTGGTGATACTTGTGTTCTGCAGGTGATGTTTTCTACGTAAACTGGGATGACGTGCTTTTAGGGGCTACAGCAGTTGTTTCAACACTTGGGGGTTTTGGAAGTGAGGAACAGATGAAAAGGATTAATGGTGAGGCAAATGTAGTGGCCGTGAATGCTGCTAAAGATTATGGTAAGGAGCTTCTTATTATCATGCTGCTATCATGCATTATTCTTATAAATTATGGGTCTCCAACATAATAAAAGAAATCTTCACATCAGTGTCCTTACAATACAACCTATCCTTTGCTGTCTTTCAGTAAGTATGGGATGCAAACATTCTGCTAGAGATCTTCACAACAGTATCCTTAAGTTGGATTTATCATTTTAGGTTTGAGAACTCTGGGATTTTCATGATTTGCCTAATGAATAGCCACCATTTAATTTCCTTTGCAGGGATTCCAAAGTTCATCTTGATCTCAGTCCACGATTACAATCTCCCATCCTTTCTATTATCATCAGGTTACTTCACAGGAAAGAGGAAAGCAGAATCAGAGGTCCTCTCCAAATATCCAAACTCAGGTACTCTTTTATCAGCTCCTTTACAAATATATTTACTAGTTCAAGGGACACTTCTGATAACTAAAAAATAAACGAAACCAAATCCTTTATGCAATTGCTGATTGAGCATCTCCACCAACTAAAAACAAATTCAGAAAAACAGTATGAATTTTGAATCTGTGAATTTATTAATTTAATACATTAAGCCCTACAAACAGCATCCACTTTAAATAGGTAATGTTGCATTCCTGTAATCTCACATTACCCTTTACTATACCAAGGGTAATCTCACAGTCTGTGAACTAAATGCGTTATATTTTCTCCCAGGTCTCCCCCCTCCCTTCAATCCAGAAAAAAAAAAAGCGTTATATTTGAGTTATGGTGTTTGATTGTGTTAAGTTCGATTGGCAGGTGTTGTCTTAAGACCAGGCTTTATATATGGGAAGAGGAAGGTTGATGGCTTTGAGATTCCTCTGGATTTGATAGGGCAGCCAATTGAGAGAATACTAAGTGCTGTAGAGAACTTTACTAAACCTCTTAGCTCACTTCCTGCCTCCGATTTGCTTCTCGCTCCCCCGGTTAGTGTTGATGATGTTGCCTATGCAGCGATAAACGCTGTCACTGACGACGACTGCTTTGGAGTTTTCACTATTGAGCAAATCAAGGAAGCTGCAGCAGCAGCTAGGGTGTGAAATCATCTTCTAATCTGCTATAGTTCTATGCATAACTTGCCATATATATGCTGAATGTGTTGTGGGTTTCACAGTGATATTCCTGTGTCCTCCAGTGTTCCTAGTACTGAATATTTTTATTTTTTACTTCACTTATCAAAGGTTGATGTCAATCAATATGAAAATTACTCGTATTAAGAGGGCGTTTGGTTCAGGTTATATAAGATAACCAAGATTGGTAATATAAGATTCTCATGTTTGGTTCAGGTTATGTAATTTTTTAAGAGAATGTCACATAATTTCCGCATTAAATTTTTAGTTATTGGAAGAGAATGTAATATACCCTCTAATTTCTTAGGTAATCTCACATTTTCTTTTCTTAATAATAATGTTGGGCTTTGAACGTTTTAATCAATTTATCTTATTATTGTTGTCTTATTTACATATCTTTAACATTCTATGAACTAAACGCTCCCTAACTTCGTGATATGTTTCTTAATGTCAAATCTGTATTGATGTCATAATCAGATGATAACGAATTATTATCTCTTGAATTCAAGAGGATAATCATGATGACAGCAATGTAAATGGAAAATTGCACTTTTAGTCCTAATTTATAGAATAAGTTTAAATTTAGCTTTTAATTGGTTTTTTTTTTTTTTTTTTTTTTTTTTTTTCTAAAACCAAATATTTATAAGACTGTAAAACATTCACGATACAAGTTGGAGGATTCAGAACTATTTTGAGATTATATATATATATATATATATATATATATATATATATATATATATATATATATATATATATATATTATATAATAATTTAAAGATATAGAAAATTAATATATTCGAAACTACTAAATAATGGAGACTTGAGATCTAAGATAAATAACTTGTGTCCAAGATTGAAGACTTAAGTATAAGATATATTACTCGGAGACCCGAGAAGATGACCTTGATCAAGATAGGCGACCAAAACGAAGATAGATAACTCGAATCTACAACTTAGGGCTAGCCCCCAAAGCCAACCCCGGGTGGTTAGCCATTGCCGCCCCTGAGCCTGTCTCTCGTCCAAAAAAAAAATGGCGGCCTTTGACCCGTTCTCGAGGTCCACTGCGATATTAGCTAAGTTTGTTGCGTTTTTCTTGTATAAATTACCTTTGTCCTAGGCCTAGACAATTATGTTATACGTTATTATAGCTTTCTTATAATAGTTTTACAACAATCCTGAAATATTATTACAATATTTTTCCTTACTATTTTAACCTTATTCTATGCAATCTTATTGATTCGTACATACCTAAATCAATTTGCTCAATCACTAATGAATGTTGTAAAAAAATAAACTAAAAAATATATGAATCTCGCATTCTATATATCTTCGTATTCCAATATAATATTATCATATTTACATTTTTAAAATTACATGAAATAATTTGAACTAAGTTTTCCCTTACTTCTTAATATATCACCGAAAGGTATAATTATTTTGAGTAATTTTACAAGTACTATTATTTTTTACTCCTTATGATGTGGCATGTTTTGATTGCTTAATATAATATGAGGGTCATGATTTTTATTTATTCTTTTTTTTTCTTTCATCTAATAAAATTTAAACACAATTGAGAATAAAAGTTGGGAGTATGTTTTTGGATTCCAAGTAGTATTTTTGATTTTTTTTTTGTAATTAATTAAGAATTAAATTTATAATTTATGATAATTAGAGATTAAAACTATATTTAACTTAAAGTATAAGGACTTGAAATATAATTGTTTTTTTTTTTAATTAATGAATCGTAGACTTCTTTAGGTTCTTATTGATGGGTGTGGGGACCCAAAAAAGAAGATAAGAACAATTTAGCCCACACACGAATGACACGATGGGACGAAAAAACAAAGATGAAAATGTGACAAACGGGACCCACTTTGAAGTTTCCTTTTTATTTATTCTTCTAGGGGTGGGTAGAAAATTACAAATTAGAAAAATACATTGACTCAAGACGCTCCGAGTCCAGCCCGACCCGCAAAATAATTCGCATGTTCTCTCTCTCATTCTCTGTATCGCCCCCACTGACCCGCAAAAGACTAACCGACTATTTACTTTTTTATTTTTTATTTTTTATTTTTTGTTTCCCGGAATTTCATAATGCCGTCTTTGCCCTCTACCAACTTAACAATTTGCTCAAACGCGTGTAGTTATCACGCCGAATTTGTATAATTTTTACTCAATTAGACATTTAAACATTTTTTTTTCAACACTTAAAAACTTTAACATTTTTTAATATGTTTTTGCTTGTAAACTTTCAATTTTGTTGATGTGACATCCACACTAATATTTTTCTTTTAAATTCAATATTTACTTGGCATGCACGGAAGCAATTTCCGTCTAATACTAGTATTCTTATTATCAAATTTTTCTAATCTTTTACTTTAATGAGCTTTGATCCAAAAATCAAAGGGTATTGATTATTCAATAATAGTAATATCATCTTTAGTAACAAATGATTTTGTGGGGATCAGGTCCATCATAAATTGGGTATAAAAATATATAATATGGTGCATGAAAATAGTAGTATTATTGTTCAGAGCGGTAGGCCTAAAATGAAATATACAGAGCCTGATATATTGGCTTAAAAAAACGGCCTAAATAATAAATAATACAATCTATAGTCAAATAGTTAACTATACATAATAATAGTTGTGGGAAATTGAGCCATAGTGTTGTTGTTGTAAGTTAGGATCAGTCGCCAATGGATAAGGGGTTTTAGTGAACCAAAGGATGTTTTTTAAAGGGAGGCGATGGTGCCTTATATAGCGTTGAACACCTTTCAAATGCTCGACAAGTGTACGACATCGGCTAATCTTCATTCTTGGCCAAATATGTGTCCCCTCCCCTCCTCTCCCCCCCCCCCCCCCCCCCGCCCCTCCACTAGTTTGCTTCCAACGCACTTCTCATGCATAAGTGGAGCACCGTGCCCTTTAATATACAAGAGTTGGTGTAGCTAATAAGTGTATTTAATGTGTGTTGTTAAGTGGGAGTTTGAGGGTTCAAACCCTTTTTGTTGCACCTTCCTAGCTTATTGTATTTCTTCATTTTGGTCACTATGATTCCTTCCCCCTTAACAATAAAAGTTGACCCCCTTGAGCCAAGACTTTCTCAATAAAATGCCCCCTCCCCCGGAATCTTATGGCACCATCGGTAACCATTAGCCACTGTTAACAACTTTGCTATGGTCATCAATAATGACCATTTACAACTTTAAATTGTATATCTATGCGTGAAAATTAAACTTGCTCTTTGTCCATATCTAGATTGTCATTACTCGAATGGGATCAAGATTAAGTCGTCTTTGTCCCAAATGAGTCGAAGATGAAGGTTTTGCTACTATGGCCATTATTCATAAATTATTAACACATTTTAATTAAAATATATCTAAACTCAAACAATGATAAAAGGTAAGAACGAATAATGACATAATAATCTTGTTGATCTCTTTTTTTTTTTTTTTTTTTTTTTGTATTGATAAAAAAGGGCAAGTAACTCAATTACAATGCTAAAATAATATGTATTGGTTTTCAAAAATAAACGTTCTCTCATCATTTACTATCTATGATTTTTATAATCAAAGAAATTAATATGATATCCTTTTACCCCCACACGCTAAGGAATACATTTCCTATTAGTGCATGCATAACTCCACCATCGTTGGTTCTGCCAATTATGCTCTAATCGATTTTTATGACCAAACCTACCATGCTCCACATAGTTATCCACGTTAAGAAAGCATGTCCCATGGCTACATGGTTTCATCGATCACTTGGCCTTAGCGTTAGGTTAGGTGCACAAGTTCATGCTTGCATGCATGTGCTCATATTCTAACATTACACTGGTGCACTTGCAATATAGTATTGCACGTAATGTCAATGTGTCTATGTGATCAAACTTGCATGCATGTGCTTATATTATAACATTTTACATATACACGCTTACACTCTAATATTATGTGTAATGTCAATATGTCTGAACACGCTTAACGCTCTCACTCCCCTACAAACACTCGACCATGAACCTTTATCACCTCATACTCACTTGACACCTATATTTAGTATACTTTTTTAACCAGCTCAATATCATATCACAAACTATTTCCATTTAATCACAAGACCGACAAAAAAGGCATGTGAATGGAATAGTCGTTGCGGCTCATCCGAGGGTGAAACAGTCAATTCAATATTTTGTCTTTCCGCACAAGGAATGAAGTAAATATGAGAAATCAGGGAAAATGAAAGTATCTGTCCCGCTAAGGTTTCTTTGGGCGGAGGCTTTTAGGGTTTGTCACCGACGTTGACGGAAAAAGCAGCCGGAGTAGGAGGAAAACTAATTCGTCGGCTCTTCAATCTCTGCAACTCAGGTAGATCCATGGTCCATAGCATCAAACTTAGCCACAATGATCAAGGTTTGTTTGAGTAAAGCGTGCATACTTTTTGCTGTTAGAATTTGTGGTTTATTTTTGATCGAAAGAGTTTGATTTGGAATTTCCTAATTATATATAAAATGATCGATACAGTTATAAGAGGCTACAACCTTCGTTTTATTTTTTTTAAATTTATTTTTTTTAATTTTTTTTATTTATAAATTTTGTGGTAGTAATTTTTATATTTATACACCTTCAAATATTTGTGTGATGTTCATAGCAATTACCGTTGTGATTATGTATATCAACTTGCTTCATCCATGATGTATGCCTTGGCAACTGCAGTGGGCTATTGTCTCTTTTTGTACCACATCAAATTCACAAACTGCTTATTTTGACTTAGTTATGTACATTAATTCTGATGATTTTGATGGATCTGTGATTTTCCAGGATTTAACAATGGAACGGTCACTCTGAGACAGAACCGTGACTGAACTGTATAAAGTTGTCTTCGAAATCTTGGATTTAAAGTTGTTGACAGGGATTCATCCTCTAGGAAGAAATGGAAACAAAATTCGGAAGGGTATTGGATAACAGTAAGCATATTGTTGTCAATTTGAAAAGAAAACTTGAGACTCAATCTGAGACATATAATAATGGAACTATCCACTCGTTACTACCAACATCTTGCCCTGATAATTCTACCACAGAAAAGTTTGGCAAGCGAAGAAAATTGGATGAAGTCAAAAGCAAGTCTAGCTGTGGTGGGTTTCACCTCAGA